GTATAAAACCTCGATATTATCATCAATTCAGCACGAGGCAATAATTTTCCATCAATCTGTGTATAAAAACCAACACAACACGTTCTACATCGCTGTACTTGTGTAATATGAAAATAATCATTTTGCATTTGATCCTCAAAATCATCCCAACTAAGATGAATATTGTTATTGACTACAACACAGGCGATAATAAACTTCCAACCACAAATGAAGGAAAACAAATGTTGACTTCGATACTCAGAGGATGATCAAGCGAATGCGTTTATGTCAAAAATCAAATTCATGCAGGTAGTTGGTCTCTCTGTTAAGGTTGTCTTCATTTTCAGCTAAGTTGAGTGTAGAAGGAATGATTTTTACCAGCACTGGCTAGGGGGCCTTTGAGTGGCCGTTTTTACTTACTGAGCACAAGACCGTGGGTTAGAACCCAAGCCTTTTTGCATTACTGGGTTGATAGGGTCACGTCGTTTGCTCAAACCATGCTTTAAAAGTTCGTATCGCTTTCAGAGATGCAGAGGTAAACTCGGTCTCTAGTAGCAACGGGTGTTGAATTAACAATCCTTTCTCTCCGACGGCCGTAGGGACGTGGTCGGTGCCGTTATTGACCTGAAAATTAATGATTTATCGGATTGCTAATCCCAAGCCCCATTTACATGGTTCTTTGTGCGAATTTTGCTATCACGGAGTAGAAGCTACTGAATTCAGTTGTATGGTCGTCAATGCTCATGCTCATTTTGTGACCATCGTCGCCGGTACGTAGACAATCGTTAGTGAAATAAAACTCGGTTGAAATGGCGAAAAAAAATGTTTTCTCGGTTAAATATGACATTTGCTTGATACAGGACATCATTTCATTTGAATAGCTTCATGCCACCGGACATTAACAATTGTCGTTGGTTATGTAATGTAATGTTATGCCAGGGGCTCAGTTGTCTAGTCTAACCATTTTTGATTACTGAGCAGAAGACCGTGGGTTTTATCCAGACCCCCTTCACTCTTTGGATTTTTTAGAGACACATAACAGCGCCAAACGGTTTGTGACGAGACAACGATGAACTGCAGCGTTGGAAGAAAACACGCATTTCCAATGGAATAATTCTTTAGAGAGAGTGAATGCTTTTCCCATGTTTACTTCTATGCTTATTAAGATTCTTTTGAACACCAGCTCCGCAAATCATCAATTACTATTAGAGATTTGCATCTTACTGATACCGGTGGTATATTGAAAACTCTTTCACTCGAAAGCAAAACATATTACAAACACATGATGCGCGCTTGGATGAGTGATTGTTTTCTCATTTCTCTTTTCTGTTGCGTATAAAGTGGTAATGATTGAAAATCGGAACAATCACAAACAAGTAAGAATCTTGCTACCGCAATATAATGATGATGACTTCGAGGATGATATCGTCCTCTTTCCTCGGCTGATCATCAACGTCCGCGTTGACATCTATCATGCTGACACCTGTCAGTTATTGAGCCCAGGTGGTGAAATTGGCGGGGAACTCTCAACAGTTTCAATGTGCACTCAACAGATGGCACTGCGATCACACACGGGTGGTAATTATATGCCTTGTATGAGGAATTGATTAGTGGGATATCTTGTCAATTAGATATCTTTGGTTTTATCGCAGGCTTCTTTGCATTACTGAATTGATAGGGACGAATAATTATTCCTTCCAGCCATTCTAAATATCTTTAGTCTTTGTTTCGAGATATTGGACATAAAGAATTAATCAAGATTCAGATTTGGTAAAATTAAATAAAAGAATAAATTTTGAGGTTTGTTGGGAAAATTTTTGATCCTGGATTAAGACAAATTTTCAAGACTCATGTAGTTTTATTTTAAAATATTCCGGACATGGATAAATTTCCAACTTCTAAATAGTCAGAAAAAATGTCTAAGTGTTTAAAATCTTAAAACGTAACTGTGTAAGGAAGCTCGTTTAAATTTATTTATTTATTTATTTGTCTTCAATCACTGTAGACCGTTTTACAATTGTTGTCTTAAGTGCTATTTTTACAATTTTGTCTTTGTTATTTTTTTTTTATAATATGTCTTGAAAACTAATTAAAAAAAACACTTCTAGCTGACGTTATGCGAGGAATTAAAATATTGCTTTAATTTGGTTTTTGTCATTGACATTGTAAAGTCAATGTTATCGCAGTGTTTCTAATTTGGCCAAATTTGGCATAATTCGTACGATGACGATTTGTAGCAAATATATTTCTATTTCGTAAATGCCTAGATGGTGTATATAAATTTAAGGATGACAATAGTTCTATTGAATCAATGCGATGTGATACGATATCGTTTACGAATGAAATCATAGCAAATTCACGACGCTCTTTTAATGTTTGGATATTTATGAGCATACACCGAGCTGTGTAAGATGACAGAGGAAATACAGTCTAACCTAACTTCCGGAGTGCATACAATAGAAACTGCTTTTGAACGGACTCTATTCTTTCTTCGTGTGTGATTGAAAAAGGAGACCAAACTATGCTGCAATATTCTAATATCGGCCTTACATAAGCAATGTACAATGTTTTTATCGAGTACGGATCGTGAAAGTTATAGCAGAAACGTTTTATGAAACCAAGCATGTTGTTAGCTCTGTTAATAATTGTGTTATGATGATCGGTGAAAGTAAATTTTGAGTCCAAAATAACAACTAGATCCCTGACTCTATCACACTTTTCTACGTTTTGGTTCCCTAATGTGATTGTTATATCGGGTAGGATTCGTTTTCTACTAATGGTAAATAAGTTACATTTTTTTTATATTTAATTGTAGCAGGCTTTTATGACACCAAGTATGGAATCTCTTTGAATGTGTATGTCTTTGGCATCTTTTATTTCCAAAAAAAAAGTTTAATGTCGTCAGCATATATTAAAACTTTCAATTTCTTAATACCGAAAGATATGTCATTGACGAAGAGAATAAATAAAAGCGGTCCTAAATGGGAGCCTTGAGGAGCTCCTGAAGTGACAACAACGGGAGTTGATGTCTTTCCTTTGTATTTCACTATTTGATGGCGGTCAGTTAAATATGATTCAAGCCACTTGAGAAGTGCGTAATGAATTCCCATTTTTCGAAGTTCAAAAAGAAGCATGGGTATGTCAATTCGATCAAACGCTTTGCTGAAATCTGTATACAACACTTCTACATGGTTTCCGTTATCCATTGCATTCAATCAAGGAATAATTAATTAACTCAAGCAAATTCGTAGTTGTTGAACGGCCTTTAAAGAAGCCATGTTGCATAGTAGTTATACTGTTTTTAATTTGAAGAAATAGTTGTTCATTTACAATCGCCTCGAAGCTCTGAGGCATAACATCTCTGATCACGTCTTCCTTCGGAAGGGAAGTAAAGCCGTTGGTCCCCGGTTCATGAGTTGATGGGTCGATAGGTAGGGTCCAGGTGTGGGAGCTGTCTCCCTGGCGTCGGTAGCATTGGTGCTCAGTACGGAAAACAAGATCGACGGAAAACAAATCAAGGGAAAAAAAATCGCCTCGAAAAGTTTCGGAATGCAAGAGATAATAGCTATACCACGATAATTACGTATGTCAAATATTTTGCCCGATTTAAAGATAGGCACTAAAAACAAGTTTTTCCATATGTTAAGGAAGTTTCCGGATTCCAGTGACATATTGAAAATCCAAAATAATGGAGCAGTAAGTTCAGTTGCAAAAGTTTTCATTAAATCTGGCGGAGCACCGTCAGGGCCAGGACCTTTAGATAAATCTAAATTGTTTAAAGGTTAAACCCTTTGAGATATCATGACCCTTGGTTTGACTTACGCTGATGTCACTTGAAAATTCTGGAAAAGATCCAAAATATTCACGGTCACGGTCCTCTTCTGAAAACGTAGTATAGATTTCTTGTAAGAAACTTGCAAACAAATTGCATATATCATTCGAGTTCTTACCTACCCTATCGTTCAAATGCATCTTTGATGGGAAATTATCAGATTTTAATTTGGTTTTCACATAATTGAAGATGTTCTTAGGACAAGATTTTATTTCAAGTTCAGTTTTTAAATTATACTCCTCAAATGCCATATTCACGGCCAAATTTAACTGATCGCAAATGTCTAAATAGTATGCCAAAGTTTCTTCACTATTATATTTTTTATAAAATTTGTGCGCTGTTTGCTCTCGATTTTTTTAATTTTTTTAGTTCCCTGTTGTACCAGCACTCTGACGTCTTCTTCTTGTAGTTGGCACTTCTTCAAGTATTATTTCAAACGACACATTGTAGAATACGTCAACTGCTTGCCAATCGACAATGTTCAATCTATTTCTAATGTTATCATAATTTGCTGGCCGGCGCCGGTGGTGTAGTGGTAAGCGTGACTGCTTTCTAACACCCCAATGGGTCTGGGTTCAATCCCAGCCGAGGTCGGTGGGATTTTTCTGAGGCATAAAATCTCTGGTCACGTGTTCCTTCGGAAGGGAAGTAAAGCCGTTGGTTGGATTTCTGAGTGAGTGCTGAGAGTATGGCAACCGCCTAGTTGGCTATAGAAGCTCTTAGTTTTCTAAAAAATATACTTGAAAGTGATCCCTTTCAGGGGTAAAGTTATCGTGAAAATCAACTTTAAGTGCCGTAGTGCATAGATCAAGTGGAGTACAGCAGAATAGTGCAGTGTTTCACGTGAAAAACAGCGTGAAAAAGTGCACCTGTTGCTGGCAGAATATAATAGAAGTGTTAATAATAGTAGAAGTGAAGAAAGGAGATAGCAAGTAGTGAAGAGCGGGGAGTTAAAGATAACCGAAAAGTGACGGCAGACGACCGCGTGTTGAGTGCCAGTGATGATCTATTGTACAAAAGGAAAGATCGAATAAGTGTCATCGAGCTATACTCCGATACGTGGAGAGAAAATTTGCGAGTCACTCAAATAGTGCGCGGTGTGCCAGAAGGGAAATTTTCTTGAATTTTTTTTTTGTTTTTAAACAAAAAACAAAAATACGAAACTGAATACAGTTTGTTGTGCGGAATCATGGATTTGAACGAAGAATCCATTAAGCAGGCAGCTACCGAAAATATGGAAACAGAAGATACACACAAAGAAGATGATCTTCTGCAAAGTGTCTCGATGGATAATGTTGGAAGTGGGGGATCTGTCTCGTCTTCCATTCTGAACTCTGAAGATGAAGACGACGGAGTGAATGTCACCATTAAGGAGATACGAAATGAACAACAACAAAGTGAGTCAAGGCCAGTCTTGAAGCCAAAGCTAAGTGGAGCGAAAAAGAAGCGGTTCAAGAAATTGCTGCTGAGTGGGCATGGTCGAGAGGAAGCGCTTTCGATGGTACTATTGCCCCCAAATGTGTCTACACCGAAGAGACCAAGGAATATCAACAGCAGTAACAACAGTGACGGAAAACCTATCCCCAAAAAGCAAAAGGGGCAGGTTCACACGTCTGTGAATAAAAGGATGGAAAATATTAGGCAAGAGCAATCAGTTGGTCAAAATCCGACCTACAGTGACGTGGCCAAATGGGTAAGGGTAGGAATTATGCCAAAGAACTATCCACAAATCCAATTGACGATGGAACAGATGTACGTCGTGCAGGAGGCCATACTTCAAAAGGTCACACAGCAAAGAAGAGAGTCCTTCAAACCGAAATTCATCAACTGTTGGCAACGAACTGGACATCTAGTGATTAATTGCCAAGACACGGAAACGGCGGATTGGCTAGATTCTGTAGTTCCTATGCTTACTCCATGGGAAGGCGTGGAACTAACGGTAATCGACGCGGACGACATCCCAAGATTAGACGTGATGATTGGCTTTTTCCCTCAAAGCGTGAACGACGATAATGACACTATCCGGGTTTTCATAGAGAGCCAAAACGATGGCTTGAGCACCAACAAATGGAGGATAATTCAACGTAACACTCTCTATGAGAAACACGTTGAGTGGTTCTTCACTGTGGATGAGGCGTCCATGCAACATTTTAAAGCATGTAATTTCCTCATCAACTTCAAGTTTGGGCAAACAACTCTACGGAAAAAAGGTATGTACAAACCCGATTCAGAGGGGATGGTTGATTCGAGTGACGATCTCAAAGGCAAGAAGCCGGAAAGTTGCCAGAATTCTGGGAACAAAGACGATCTTAGTGTCCCGGGAACAAGTGGAACTGACGGAAACTTGCCAGGAGTAATGTCCTCCAAAACCAACCAAAATCCTGATCAAAACCTTCAAGAAAACTCCAAGGACTTGAATCACTCTGGGCATCCGATGGACAGGAACCCATGTGGGCCTCCAAATGACCAGATAATTTCTGGGCCTCCTAAAGACCAGAATCTTTCTGGGCCTTCAAAGGACTGGATTTTTTCTGGGTCTCTAAAGGACCGGAATATATCTGGGCATGCAAAGGGCCGAAATGATTCTAGGCCTCCACAGAACCGTAAGTCATCTGGGCTTTCAAAGGACCGGAATTACTCTGAGTCTCTAAAGGACCGGAACATATCTGGGCATCCAAAGGGCCGAGATAGTTCTGGGCCTCTACAGGACCGTAAATTCTCTGGGTCATCAAAGAACCAGAAGCAGTAAAAAAAAAAAAAAAAAAAAAAAAATTAAAAATGAGTACTAACTTAAAATTTATTCAAATAAATCTTCATCATGCCAAAGGGGCAACCGGAGTCCTTTGTCGAAGATTCGTGAAGGAAAATATAACCGTGGCGCTAATACAAGAGCCGTGGGCTCATAAACACCGAGTTCTTGGAATAGGCACACAGGCAGGTAAGCTAATTTATGATGAAAGCAATCCAAAACCTCGGACAGCGATTTTAATAAAAGGGGGGATCAAATTCGTACCTATAACACAATATATTACCAAAGATTTAGTTGCAATTCGAATGGAAATTCCCACAACCCGGGGAAAAACTGAAGCCTACATAGCTTCGGCTTACTTCCCTGGGGATGTGGATACAGTTCCTCCACCCGAATTAGCAGCCTTCACTAACTTCTGCAAAAAGAACAACAAACACTTCATCATTGGATGTGATGCAAATTCCCATCACATAACTTGGGGAAGCACCGATACTAATAAAAGAGGTGAAGACCTCTTTGAATACATATCTTCGAATAACATCGATATATGTAACAAAGGAGATCAACCTACATTTACAACAAAAAGAAGACAAGAAGTATTGGACTTGACAATTTGTAGTCCTATGCTTTCGACAAATATTAGAAACTGGCATGTCTCAGATGAACAATCTTTATCTGACCACAAACATATAGTGTTTGAGTACAATGCTGGTGAATTATTCAAAGTAGCCTACAGAAATCCTAGGATTACCAACTGGGAAAGTTACGAGTTGAAAATGCGATCTGTAGATATAAAATTGGACGATAAAATAGAATCAATCAGACAACTGGACAAAGCAGCAGAAAATATCACTGGAAAAATCATACAGGCGTATGAAGCGAGCTGTCCAGTCAAGGAAGAACTCTCAAACAGAGATGTTCCTTGGTGGAATAGAACTTTGAATAAGCTAAGGAAAACAACTCGGAAACTTTTCAATCGAGTAAAAGTTTCTGGACAGTGGGACCAATATAAAAAGGCCCTTACCGCATACAATAAAGAATTAAGGAAATCACGCAGAAGAACCTGGAAGTCTCACTGTGAAAACATTGAGAAAACTCCAGATGTAGCCAAACTACAAAAAGTACTTTCTAAGGACCATTCAAATGGTCTTGGAAATTTAAAGAAAACAAATGGTAATTTTACTATTGATACAAAAGAAACCCTTGAAATAATGATGAAAACTCATTTCCCAGGATCAAATTTGGTGTCGAGTGATAATGTAGTAGGTACAGAAGAGAATTGTAGGCCATCCGGGACTACGACCGTTAATTCAGCCGTACTTAATACCATCTTCACACGAACTAAGGTTGAGTGGGCAGTGAACTCCTTCGAATTATTCAAATCTTCTGGAAAAGATGGTATCTTTCCTGCATTTCTTCAGAAAGGTGGAGAAGTACTACTTGATTCCTTAACTAATATTTTTAAAGCTAGTTTAGTGCTTGGTCATATACCAAAAATATGGACCCACGTTCGTGTTGTCTTTATTCCTAAAGCAGGCAAAAGAGACAAAACAAATCCAAAATCGTTCAGACCAATAAGTCTAACATCTACCATGCTTAAAATCATGGAAAAGATAATAGACGAGTATATAAAATCAAAATGTTTGCAAACGAGCCCTCTTAACAGATCTCAATTTGCTTATCAATCAAACAAATCTACAGTCACAGCTTTACATAAACTAGTTACAAAAGTAGAAAATACTCTTGACAAAAAAGAAATTGTTCTCGCAGCATTTCTCGATGTAGAGGGCGCTTTTGATAATACATCTTACAAATCTATAAAAAACTCAATGGAAAAAAGGAACGTCGATCCTTGCATTATAATTTGGATTATGAAAATGCTGAATAATAGAGAAGTATCGGCTGACTTGGGAGAATCATCAATAACAATAAAGACCACTAGGGGGTGTCCTCAAGGAGGTGTATTGTCACCCTTATTATGGTCACTTGTTGTTGATGATCTTCTCAATAAACTAGTGGAAGAAGGCTTCGAAGTTATCGGGTTTGCTGATGACGTGGTCATAATAGTTCGTGGAAAATTTGATCACATCATCACAGATAGAATGCAATCTGCATTGAACTGCACATTTCAGTGGTGCCAAAATGAAGGGTTAAATATAAACCCATCCAAAACAGTTTTGGTCCCGTTCACTCGCAGAAGACAAGTAACACTCAAAAGTTTGTCAATTGATGGATCTATTATAAAATACTCGTCAAACGTAAAGTATCTGGGAGTCATTCTAGATGATAAACTTAATTGGAACTTACACTTAGAGCAGGTAATAAGAAAAGCAACGAATGCTCTCTGGGTTAGTAAAAAAACATTTGGAAAAAAATGGGGACTTAACCCTAAAATGATACATTGGATCTACACGGTTATTGTAAGACCTAGAATAGTATACGCTTCATTGGTTTGGTGGCCTAAAACAAAGCAAAGCGTGACCCAGAAAAAGCTAGAAAAATTTCAACGTTTGGCCTGCATGGCCATAACAGGAGCAATGCACAGCACGCCATCAAAGGCCATGGAGGCAGCTCTCAATATGCTGCCACTGCATCAATACGTGCAAATGGAAGCTGGAAAGAGTGCACTAAGGCTACGCAGAACAAACGTCTATCTTGAAGGCAATCTTTCAGGGCACCTTAGTATACTGAAAGATTTTCTCATTAATCCATTAGTAGTAATGAACGAAGACTGGATGGAAAAAAGGTTAAACCTAGGTATACCGTATAAAGTAGTTAAATCTAACCGCGAAATATGGGAATCAGGAGGGCCAATAATTCCACCAGGATCAATAATTTTCTACACAGATGGTTCAAAAATGAATGATAGCACTGGAGCTGGGATCACAGGCCCGGGGCTTAACGTTTCAATACCAATGGGAAGATGGACAACTGTTTTTCTTGCAGAAATTTACGCTATCTTAGAGTGTGCATATATTTGTCAAAAAAGGAATTATCGACACACGCGAATCTGCATACTTTCAGATAGCCAGGCAGCATTGAATGCACTACAATCTTTCACATGCCAATCAAAACTGGTGTGGGAATGCATAATACTTCTGAAGCAACTGGCAGTCAAAAACCAGGTTTATCTGTACTGGGTACCAGGCCATTGCGGAATCGAAGGAAACGAAAAAGCCGATTTACTCGCTAGACAAGGCTCAAATGTCCAATTTATAGGACCAGAACCTTTATGTGGGGTATCTAAATGTGTAATACAAATGGAAATGAAAAAATGGGAAGACAATATGATACAGTCAAATTGGGCTGCTACGAATACTTCAAGGCAATCCAAATTGTTTATTACTCCAAACAAAGGAATTACGGAAAAAATACTAAATTTAAATAAAAAATCACTAAACATACTTATTGGGCTACTTACGGGACACTGTCCCGCTAGATATCATTTGAAAAAGATAAATCGAAGTCAAACAGATATCTGTAGGTTTTGTGACTGTGAGACAGAGACCTCTCAACATTTACTCTGCGAATGTTCGGCACTATTCGTGCGCAGAAGACAACATTTCAACAAAAGCATACTAAGTCCTTCTGAGATTTGGTTAAAAAATCCCAAAATGGTGGTTGAATTCATTCTAAGAATGATACCAGATTGGGGAACTCTGCATTATCAGGCAACAACGGCAGTTACCCTAAATGGTAACTCGTCGTCCTGAACAGATGCGATACTAAACAGGGGTATACCACAATAGATCAGCTTAATGGTCGCAGTGGTTCAAATCCCAACAAAAAAAAAAAAAAAAAAAAAAAAGCCGTTGGTCCCGGCCCATGTGTGTTGTGAATGGGAGCGATATCCTACGCATGTGTGGAAGCTGCCTTCCTGCACATTCGATTGCCGTCAATGAATGGCAATCGATGTCCGTCGGTGATTGGCACTAGATTGCGGAACAGAGACCGACGTTAAATAAAGGAAAAAAATAAATAAATAATTTGCTGAATTTATTTAAGTCTGGGCAATTCTTTTGGCCTTTTGGCCAGATACCCTCGGTCGATAGTGCACATCCAGAAATGATCAGAACCTTGACAAAAAAAAATCAACAACGGACAGTCCTATCGCATGTTTTGTGTATATAGGCTAAATATTATAAATTAACTACTCAGAACTTCCCTTTTATAGACCATTGAACCATTTTTGAATTTATATGAGTAAATAAGGCCAGATGTTCCAATAAATGAAGTATTTCGGTATTATTCTTTAAATTATAGACGATAAACAAACAGGGCCAATCACTCTTAGGGAGCGTTCATTGTAAAAATGTGCCCATGAAATGGGAACCTGCAAAGCATATTCGGATATACTAGAATCTGACCTGGAGGTTCACTTGACTCAAAGTCCCTCGGCCCTGGCCTGGAATTCAAACTGTTCCTGCATTAAAATTTATCAAATGTTTCAAAATTCAATGCAATGATCAATACACGTTTTTCTTATTTTTCTTTTTGGCTTCGCATTCTCACGCCAGACTAAAAATTATGTATTGGGGTTAAGTAAAAGTAACTTTGACTCTCGGAATAACCCCCTATAGATTTAATCTTTTCCGATGTTACGATTCGTTTGAGTCCAATTTTAAGGGAATCTTGTGCATGTACAGAGAATTTAAGAATCCATATCCACACGTGATGTATTAACCGTTTTCGTGTATCAGAGTATGCAGAATAACAAGATCCTATTATCATTATGGCAATTACGGAATGTTTTATCCGAATCAATTTCGGAAAACTTCTACTAGTAGAGCTTGCATGATTTTTACTTTTTTTTTATTAATTAATTATTAATTTATTGGTTTTATTATTTAATTCATATTTACTAAACATATTCTTTGTTATAATGCCAGACTCCAGATCAATCCAGACATTTAATTTATTGTTTGAAATACTACATAAACTTTTCGACATAATTAATATGTGTGATGAACATTGACGATTCTACAGGACGATATAAAAAA